AGAGTGCTGATGTGTCAGGTGACGTGTCTAATGACTGTACAGAAATGCTGACATGCCTAATGACGTGGTAGTTTGACTGGTCAGAGTGCTGATGTGTCAAGTGACGTGTTTGATGACTGTGCAGAACTGCTGACGTGGCTGATGACGTGGACAGACATCCCGCCGGAATGTGCGGCGGTTTTCAGCGTCCGATTTTGACGCGGTTTTCACCAGTATTCTTCTTCGACAGCAGGCCTCCTATTGCTACAATTGCAAGTGGCAGTCCCTCACACTTCCTTAAGATATTTCGAGACATCTCTTCCAGTTCTGGAGGGCATACAGCCTTATGTTCCCCTCTAAAGGCTTTCATACAAAAGAGGGTCCAGGCTTCATTTTCTGGTAAAGCTTGGAGTTCATAAACATGACTAGTGTTCTCTATAGATTCAGCCAAGTTACTTAAACGTGTAGTGAAGATAATTCTACTACCACAGTTACAATCATGAAATGCATACTTTATTGTTTCCCAAGCGTTTACATTCCATATATCATCCAACACAATGACATACCTCCTTCTCCATAGATAATTTCTTAGAGCATCAATTAATTGGAGGTCAGTCATTGATTGCAAATTATCCGGAACAGTTTCGTTTGCTGTCACCAGAAACCACTGCAGAGCAACTCGTAGAAGCTCCGTGGATGCAAATGATTTGGAAACTGTAACCCAAGAATGGGTATCAAAGCTTCTTCTGATGGGGTGGCTGTCATAGACTTTCTTTACGAGGGTTGTTTTTCCCAACCCACCCATTCCAACCACAGAGATACTGGAGAGTTTTTCTTCTCCTTCCACAAGCCACGAAACCAGTAGATGTTTTGGGTTCTCAATTCCCACGACATCAGCTTCATCTAAGTAAAGAGCAGCTAACCGGGGATCTTGCCATTTCTCTACGGTAGCACTGGAGGTTGATGGCATGTCTATCCTATTCAAAGAAAATGCATTTCTTCTCTCTGAAATGGCTTTCACCCTTGCTTTAATGCTTTGTAACTGGACTGCCAGCCGGTGCCGTGCACTTACTTTACGGATGGAACGATATGAATTGCGAAGATAATGGATAAAACCAGTCCCGTGAGATTGAGCAAACCGGAGCATGAACTCTTCAAGAATGTCCTCAGCATCATAAGCCACATCTCTCACTTGTTTGACCCAGGCTCTCAGTCCTTGATCACTCTCACTCCTTTCTTCCGCATCCTGAAGGAAAGATTTCATGCTATACAAATCATCCTGTAGTTCAACGATTCCCCCTCTAACTCCTCCCAAGAACCGTGTTTCTTCTGCTACAAAGGAAGCCAGTTTCTCGAGCACCACCTGCACTGCGATCATGGCCATGGCTTCTTGCTCCAGAATCACCAATCCTGATCTCTTTTCTCTCGCCAAAAATTTGAAGAAAGGAAAAACAAAAACCCTTGATGCAGTTTCTATCACAGATGATTGCTACAAGGTTCCAAGCTTAATTAACAATTCCTTCTACTGATTCATTGTGCATGAAAGATAACATTTTTTTCATTTAAGAAAATTATCATGTGGACCATATGGCCCTGGGCAAATTAAGGCCTCACATATAGGCAGCTATAGCATGGGATAGCCAGTGGCATAATTTGTCATTTTTATAAGTTAGGGGGCTGATATGATATTTAAAAAATGATGACTTTTTTATTATTTTAAATCTTAAGACTACTATCTAACTAAAAATTCCTTCTGCTGATTCATTGTTCATGTGATAATGTTGTTGGCATGTGTCCAACAAGACATGTCAAATTGCAATAGGATAACATGTGATCAAATTCACCCCGTCATTCTTGTGTTCTCACGTGGGCAGGAAGCTACCTAAACCTCTGATACATCTGATTTACTCCTGGTTTTATAAATTAGAAAGTGTAAATTGTAAAACCCAACTAATAAGATATCTACATGCATGTTATCAGTAAGTGTAAATTGTAGATTAATATTTTTCACCAGTAAGTTATCCTAGTGCTTGCTTGGACTTGCTCAACATGCAGATTAAAAAAATGAAGTTTCACCAATCTGTCATCAGAGTCTGTAAATGTTACAGATAATTTAAGTTTGTTTACCAAATTTTTCAAGAACATGTTTGTCTTTAATAGTAGATGAGTAGTGTACTGAAAATAAATATTATTTTTGGTATGTAAGAAGAAATATTACATATTTTCATCATATTACATAGATTGGATATAGAGTGTATCCTCTGTTGGGGTCAGTTTACACCTCAGGTCTAAAACAATAGCACTACACAAAGTTACTTTTAACACGACCCAAACATTTTTTTTATCATCACTTCCAACAAATTATTATGACCATACCTTGTTAGCAATGTTGTTAGATAGCCAGTCAAGTCCCTCATAGAGGCCCTCACCAGAAGTGGCACAGGTGCTCTGGATATACCTGAAATAAAACACAGATTGGATGGCATATATGTAACAGCAAACTATCAACATGTTCAAAATGGAGATATTATCATTTACCAGTGGCGTTGACGTAGCGAATGAAGACCAAGTTTATCTGTAATTTCAGCAGCATTCATAGCATTTGGAAGATCTTGCTTGTTAGCAAACACAAGTAGCACAGCATCCCTCAATTCATCCTATTCAGAAAATTAAATTTCATCATTACAAGACAAAAGCAACAAAGGCAGAAGTTAAGAAGTAAATCTTATGGCCATACCTCATTCAACATCCGATGCAGCTCATCCCTAGCTTCAACCACACGGTCACGATCATTGCTATCAACCACAAAGATGAGGCCTTGAGTGTTTTGGAAATAATGTCTCCACAATGGTCGAATCTGTGCAGATCAGATAAGTAAATTGAAAAACAATTCCTTTTTCATGAAACATGTAAAATATGAAAAGAATACAATACCCAAAATAACAAGGAAATAAGACAGAAGATGTCTCCTATCTCCTAGGCGATAGACTGCAAATGAGCAGGTGGTTTTTTCTCCACATGCTTCCAATGCAACTTGAATTACATCCTTACTTGATCAGCATTAAAGATAATGCAACCAAATCAATGCATTTCACAAAACATAATCAAACATTGATATATGATTTATGGTGTACACCACAGCAGTGAAAGCTTTTCCTCACAAAGACAGGAGAAACTAAAATAAAACTGTGGATTCATTAATGTAGCTTACGAATATGTTGTGTGCTGGTGGAAGACAACTAGCCAGCACAAGACCGTCGATAAGCACATGCACCTAAACGGCCAAAAACTTCAAACCAGACAACATTTACAACCATGGACAACAAAATGTCGCCATGTCATGGATTGTCATTCCTCATTCCAACAAGGGGAAAAACATGAAAGACAAGATGGCTCTACTCATTATAGCTTATGTATTTCTTGTGTGCTAATGACAAAGCTTATAATCAGCACTAGACTGTCCATAAGCAAATAGACAACAAGGGTATGTGCAACGGTGCAAGTGCTTAAATAGTAAAATTTCAGCCATGCAATGGTTATCTTTCCCCTCATGCCAAAAAAGGAAAGATTGCAACATTAACTGGCTAAATCCATGTAGCTTATGATTTGATTATGCGCTGAGGGAGCAATATCTGACCAGCACAAGACCGTCAATAAGCACATTTTAAAACCAGATTAAAGCACAAACATGAATAGTGCCATATTTAGTTATTGACTAAAGATTAGACATTTACAATGCCGAGAAAACAATTTGATGCATCTTCATGATATTGTAATTATACCCAAAGTTCTCATTACAATTTACAGCATTTACATACCTTGTCCTGACCACCAACATCCCAGACAGTGAAGCTTATGTTCTTGTATTCTACAGTCTCCACATTGAACCCTGGATAGAAACAGACAATTAGCAAGAAAAACAAGAGCACAATAAATTCACTACTAAATAACTTTAAAGTAATGGTGAGTTTCGAGTAACATACCAATTGTAGGGATAGTGGTGACAATCTCCCCAAGCTTGAGCTTGTACAAGATGGTGGTCTTACCAGCAGCATCAAGACCCACCATGAGAATTCTCATTTCTTTCTTGGCAAAAAGACGGCTAAAAAGCTTAGTGAATGAAAGCCCCATCTTTCCTAAATCTCACCTGCATCATAAAACCCAACAATCAATCTTTAAAAAAAGATCACTTTTACATCCATTATAACATTTTCTCATTCACACCAAGGAAGCAATCAAAATCAAACACTCCATGCAAGCAAGCAAGATCTTAAAACACATTTGCTTACAAACACAAACAAAATATTTCCTTTTTAACAACTCATACGACACTAGCTCCAATCCATCAGGGCATTGAGAATCAACAATAAATCATAAAGATCCAAGCTTGTATACACAATAAAGTCCGTTCCTTTAAATTCCTCTATTTTCATTTCATTATTTCGCACCAAAGCCAAATTTATAGATTCATAATCTTCTCAATGTCAATACAGCAAACAAAACAAGCAAAAGGGTCATTGAAAAACTTAACAAAAACACCAAAAACAGATCTAATCTCACAAGGATCAGATCTAGGAACCTTTAAGAGAAAAATAAAAAAGACAAACTATAGAACCAAAACAAGACTAATCCTGTCCAAATCCAGATCACGATCTACACATAACAAAGGTAATATATATATATATATATATAGAGAGAGAGAGAATACTTATAGATAGCGAGCCAGAGATTGAGAGAGGGCAGAGCACACAGAATCCGCCCAGAGAGAGATCGAGGAAATGGGTAAGAGGGAGGCTCAATCTATCAACCTGTGCTTTAAATATGGGTGTGGTGATTTAACAGCGATAGAGACTAAAAGATGTTAGGGTAAAAATTAAGATCAATTGGTGGACCCCAATTTTCACTGGTTTGATTTATTAACATTGATAACCAGTAAAAACAAATTCTTATTTTATCTTAATAAAATACTCTTGTAAATTCTTTTTTTATCCGATGATGAAACATAATTTTAAATTAATTTCTACACCAATCAAAACTAAATTTAATATTCAAACTATTTTAATATTGTTAATGACTTAACAATGTGTGGTAAAAACAAGATCAATGTGCTGACCCCAATTTTCTTTCGTTTGATTTATTAATATTGATCACCACTTTTTCTTTTTCTTTTTATGTTAATAAAATACTATCATAAGTTTCTTATACTCGTGTGTGTCTATATATATATATTTTATTGGATAGTAGAGTATATTTTTAAACTAGCTTACATATCAATCAAAATTATATTTTATTGTATTTTAGGGCTTGACCTAGTAGTGGAAGTGACTTGTCTCCTTCCACTGCATCTGGGTTCGAGTCCTGACGTGCATGTCTGTCACCCCGCGGTATTTTACATGTTTATTGGGTTTGCAGGGGATTCAATGAGCCATGGAGATTAGTCATGGTACGCGCAAGCTGGCCGGACATCTCATGTAAATAAAAAAAATTAAATTTTATTTATTTTAAATTTATTTATTATTTCGTAGACTATGTGTCCACAGCTTGGTTTGGTCAACCTTCAGCCCAAGAAAGTGACATTAATATGCATAGCTTGAAAACCTAGGAAGGAAATGTTATATTAACAGGTCATGCTTGTGTCTTTTTGTTGATGCCTATTCTTATTACCCTCGCACACTTAGAGATAAGTTACGTGAGTGTTTAGAAATATGGTAATTTATGTATTCTATTTAAAAAAATATATATTAAATTAATATATTTTAAAGTAAAAAATACTTTGTTCTATAATATTAAATGCAAATTATGAGAAATCCAAAATAAAATATAAAGAATAGTTACATGTGATAAGAATTTTTTTAAAAAAAAAACATCAAAGAGTACGTGTGTGTGCGTGTTTATTGACTGCACAGGAAACATAAAATCCACAGCACAACACAACAAAAGCCAACAAACAGGAGAAATAAAACTACACAGGCTCTGGATTTACTTGATCCACGCTTGGAGTACTAGCGCAGGCTAAGGATCGCACAAATTGTTTGTACCGAAGTGAGGATGAGGAGGATAGCTGCACTAACCGTTGCAACACCTTTCCAAAAATTCCCGAAAAACTCCTCTACAAAGTATGCGGGGTTGTTGGCCCAGGAGCTTTTATAATATACATCCACCGCCGAAAAGATTTCGTGATAACAGGAATAGAGATCAGTCGCGCTTGATGCAAGACGGTAAATCAGGTCCCTCACTGCAACTTCGTCTTTGTAAGAAGTTACAATGTTATTTTTCATTAGGAGTTTCGCGTCTTTAGGTTTGACAACAAGAATACTCAATAGGTTGATGTAATGGCAGATGTACTCTTTTCCTGGATAAAGACGCTTCTCCAAGACCATAAGGTTTCTGAAGAGACTTTCAGTGTCGCGGTGTATCTTAAGCTGTGGTATGTAAAACTCTGTTCTCAATCCTCTATGGAATGCTACATCAAGTAAGCAGTCACGATCTCCTCGAGACTTAAAATTAACTCCTGCTTGGCGTAGCTTGGTTGCACTGTGAAAGCTTTCGATTTGGTGCACAGGCTTGCCCTTTCGACTGTCCATTTCGAGTGAAGGATAGTAAAGATCTTACCAAATCAGTGAAATGCAATGGCATTTTTGCTGCAGGAGAGAAGTTACTTCGAAGGTGGGGTTTAAAATAGGAACAAGCAAGAGTTATAAATTCCGTGTTTTCTCCTTTGATGTTTCCTGGAAGAAGTTCATATAATTTCTCAAGAATAAAGAATGGAAGCTGATTTTCAAGCAAAATCAAGTCCCGTCGAATCGCCGCCCTCCACCATCGTTCTTTTAATATAGAATCTTCTTGAAATTTCCCGTTATCTTCTCTGTACTTGAGGAATAGCTCGAAGATGAATACAGCATCGTACAGAATCAGACGCAGAAAGTCTCGAGAATTTTCAATTTCATGGGAACCAACTTCATAACATTGGCGGATCTCATTTTCATCTGCTTGCAGAGCATTCCGAAAATTGTCCTCAGTCCATTCCCCTGCCTTTGACACCCTGTCTTCCCAGAACTGTCTATAGTATTTAGACTTTTTCTTTTGCATGAAACGCAGATTTCTGTTGCCGTAGTGAATAGGGCCTATAGAAATTAGTTCAGGACTGTACATGGCTTCATTTGATTTGCGGAGTGCCTCGCCAACTCTGTAGATGCACACATGACTCTCTTGTTCATCATTAGAAGTTGCTCCACCATGAAAGGGTACTTTTCCATGCTTATCAAATTGCTGTGCATTGTTTGAATTTCCAGAAATATGTTGATGAAACAATGCTTCAGAATGAATGTCAGCATTATCTGCAAGGTAGTCTCCGGCTGAAGAATATGGTGGATGAATTTCGGCATAGTCTCCATGATAGTCCTCTCCGCCATATGAAATGTACGGTGAATGAATATGATCAGAATTATCTCCGGAGTAATTTTGGCCAAGTGAAAAATATGGTGAGCGAATCTCTCCCATCTATTGCAATTTGCTGCGTAGATGATAGATAAACGAATCACTATTTACCAATAAAAATAATTTCTCAAAAATTAAGATTATTTTCTTAATTAAATAATTAACTGGAAATATATAAAAAAAAGTTATGCTTTTGAAGTTTTTGCTTCTGTAATCAAAGGCAATAGTAACATTTGCCATTAATATTTGCTTCTCAAGAATCTGACTTCTAGTCTTGTTCTCGAAATGAATAAATTATAAATTAGTCCCTATAAATAAAATGAATTGAATAGCGTGTCTAGTTCTAAAAACTAATTAATTTGTACGTGAAAAAAGGAGCATCCTCCTTAACCTGCAGGAGCTACTATCCTCAGCTTTCTCATGGTGATTTTTTCAGTGAGGTTCATTGGAGACTTCTATATATGAGGTATCTTTAACAACAATTTTCCTTTCAAAGCAGAGGAAAGGTGAAAGCTCGTTTCAAGCGTTGCACTTGTAAACTCACTAATTGAGAGCCAAAAGAAATTAGAACTAGAGCATCAGAGTGAGAGGCTACATTCATGACAGTCCCCTTGAACCGTTCGTCTTAGTGAATCAAATATTATGGAAGGAAGAAACACGGATGGAGAGAAAACAAAATTAATTAATGAGAAAATTAAGGAAACCAGAGCACGCACCTGGCCTATGGAGAAGGGCAATTGTTTGGTTCAAGCAGCAGCAGAGCCACTTTCCTAGAAGCAAGAGTACTGAGATGCTGTATGCAGCCTCTCTCACTCTTTTCGATTTGTACATCTTTAGCTCTTCAACTCGATATGATATATATACACACACACACACTACTCTTTCCATTGCTCTCATTGTTTCTTTCGTTACTCTTCAGGTAACTAGCTAGTTAGGTTAACTCCTTTGATTATTGAGAAATTTGATATGCTTGCATGAGCATAAAATTGAGAGTTTAGGTGGTGGAATTTTTTAATTAACAAGTCAATACTATTATTTAACTAACAAGGCTTCTGTCGATTTAAAATTAAATTATTAAAAGAATTTTATTGGGGTTGACATGATTAATTAACTTCAACTAGAAACTAAAAGAACCGAGAGAAATTAGAGCCCCCCTTCCCCGTCTTTAGTTTCATCTTTAATATTTTTTTAATTTTAAATTGATTTTTTAAATTTTAAATTTTAAATTTTTATTTTTTATGAGATTATCATAATATTAAATAAATATTTATATATTTAATTTATTTTTAATTTTATAACCGTATTTTTATTATCATATCAGTAACTAAAAATAATTAATTTGCCAAGCAATCCGGTTAGTATTTTTGTTATCATATCATTCGCCAAACAAAGTCAATAATGCTAGCAACATCCAAGCCCCCATTTTTTTCACCATCCTGTTTGATAATTCTATGAACTACTACGTAGAATACTGTTGTTTGTTTTGTCATTATGTGAGTTTGGGCATCCATAGAGGTCCTATTTATACTACAACCAAGGGTGAAGGCAGGTTAAAGACTTGGGTGGGCTATTAAAACAGGTGAAGATTTTATTAATATTTTTTTATTAGTTTTATAGAAAATAAAACTTTTTAATTTTTAATTGAATAATTATAAAATTATAAAAATTTACATGAAACCTTTTAATATATGATGCTTTAATTTTGGTTAAAATTTCAAAAAAATTTAGACAAATTCAGAAATTTAATGAAAAATTATAATTTAATCAGTTTTATGTTACTGGACATAATTTTCAATCCGACCATCAGATTGAGCTGAAATTTTACGAGGAATCTTAAAATATATTAAATAAATCTGGTTAAAATTTTAGGATGAACGTAGCTTGGTAATACTAACAAAAAAAGAAAAGATTGTCAAATAAAAGCAAAACGAATCATTAAGAATAAAATGGTTATTTGCCATTAAAAAATAAAACAAACCAGCTCTTTCTTCCTTTTATATGTTGCCGACTGGGCATAGGCAGAATAGAAAAGAAAGAAAAGAAAAAAGCGAGAGAAAAGTACGGGGGAAACATAGAAAAAAATCCAAGAAAAAAAAAGTGAGAGAATAACCTTGTAAACTTACAAAGTTCAACTTATAAAATACTAAACTATGAAATAATTAAGTGAAAGAATGAGGAACTGAGAGAACAAAAAAATTTTAATTACTTTATTTTCTAGTTGAAATGAAATTGTTATTTTATAACAGTTAAGGGATTGTTACAATATTAATTCAGATTCGATTATAGATAAATTATATTTCATAAAATATTGAAAGATGTAACTTTAATAATGAATTTATTTTTACTTTCATTTTAATTTTATGTACTTTTAAGTTTATTTTTTAATATTTTAAATAATATAATTGAATTAAAATTTTACTGTTAACTTCAAAAATTTATATTCATGAATTAATAATTAATGTTAAAAAATATTTATATATTTATTTAATATTTCAGGGCAGAAAATTGCATGCTCTGCCTTGACTGCAGTACTTTGGCCATTTCCATGATTTTATCTGGGTATCTTGTGCAGGTTCCATGATTTTATCTGGGAGTCCATTTAAGTTATTTGCGTGCCACCTTCTCATCAATGATTGCCGTCGAGTCCTATTTATTTTGTGTTAAACGTTGGGTGTATAAAGTAGTCAAAAGTAGGATATCCCGCTTTCTCCATTACTGATCCGTGACATTCTTTTGGCAGCCTCCTAGCACTCGCTGCTTGAGAAATTGAGCTACAGCATAAAATGTCGTTCATGCGGATGCTTGACTTGCGGTGTGCGATTTTGACTTCAAACACCACCAAGCAGTAATTTCGTGGTGATTTCCTCATGCATACTGGTGGTTTGCCAATAGTTACGTGCATTTGGGACTGTCTCTTCATACAGTCAACTGGATTTCTTTGCTCGACTGTGAATCATGGGTGCCTTATTGGGGATGACTTTGACACAGTAAAAATGAACAATTTTTTTAGTAAAAACACATTCAAAATAAACCAATTATTCTTTATAAAATATTATTTAACGGTTTGTAGAAGTGTTTGGCAGTATAAGTTATCATCTCATGATGTTAAAAAAATAAAGGATTGTTTAATATTTAGATAGTAGCTGATTTATTCATTAAGATAATCTTAAGAATTCTAATTGGAGTAACAGTGAAGAGATATTAATGACTGTAATAATTCGTGGCCAGGGCTGACCGGCTCCTGCTTTAGCTGTTCTTGATTATTTGATGAATAAAATTGATTCATTCATGAGAGAGAAGAATAAAGAGATACTTAATTCTTAAGGAACGACGATCTGTGGAGTCGAGCTCCAGATGCTATACAACGGGCCTCCTCGCTCCTCGATAGTACAATTCGATGAATCAATCAAGTTTGAAGAAATTGATAGGCTTACTGTTTGCATTTAAGCCGAAATTGTAGCTGGCAAGCATTATTAACGAAAGGTCTCTCCGTGCTTGGTGGCCGCTTCGTAAAAAAATTTACTCTGTGGATTTGCGATTAAACTTGTAAAAAAACTGCAATACTATAAAAGCCATATGTGAATTTGTGATTAAGAAAATTCATTATTTTATTTCTTGACATAATAGGTTCCAATAGATGCATCAAGTCTAAGGCTCCACAATCGCTGTCAGTGTTCCAATAGACATGTTTTTAATTCCTCTAAGTTGTTGCGTAAACTACTTTGCTTTTTCTTCACATCTAGACATGGAAAGTCATGTGTTCTGAACAATTGATTTGATCTTGTGGAATAAAAACATTTCTTTCTTTGCATTATGTTTGTTTTTTAAAAATTTATTTTTAATTTTTTTTATATTTATTTATTATTAAAAAAATTAATCAATAAAAAAATACTTTTTAGTAAAAAAAATTTAACTTGGTTTCTAGAAAATTATTTTTCTAAAAAATTTAGATAGAAAATACTTTCTAGAAATTTTAAAAAATATTATATTATTTGCTAATTATATTAATTTTGTTTTTCAAATTTTTAATTTCTATATATATTTTATTTTGAATATTTATTTTTTAATTTTATCTTTTAAAGTTTAATTTTTATATTAAATTTCATCTTTATTTTTATAATTGTTATTTATTTTTTCCTTATCATTTTTTTATTAAAAGTTTTTATGTATGAAATTTGATCCTTATTTTTTTCATTGTTACTTATTTTATTTAAAATAATTTGAAATAATTGTTATTTTATTTTTATTAAAAATTCACTTAAAAATTTTCATTATCAACAAATGATAGGTTTACAATCATTCTTCCTTAGATTCAACTAAGGGATACAACATATATATCATCAAGAACAACTTATTCTCAGATTACAACAAGATTAAAGGAGAATTATTTGAGAAAAACTCACAAAATTGACAACCCAGTTTTCTGTCAAAACGGTCAGCTTCCACACCATCAATCTTCAATTCAACCGTCTAGAATGAAAATCAACGTGTCTAAAAGCTACTGTCAAAATCTCAGCCCGATCCAATGGTGAATAAGCTGGAAATCAAAAAAAGAACACAAGATGCTCTTCTGTTTCTTTTTTTATTTTTCTCTTTTGATTTTCTTATCCATTCTTCTATTTTCAATTCTACCATTATAGTACCTGAATCACATTAATATTAATATCAAGAAATAGTCATCGCATGAAAATTAATATGGACCACACATATCTTTTCACGGCTGAAACGAAACCTTACAGCCATGATTACAGGAAAGATAGTGACTTACCAAAAGAGACCTAAAGGTTCGGTGCCAGATGATATTCGATCTCAATTATTGGTCACAGCTGAACAAGAGTGTCAATAAGAAACATTTTTGGACACGCATTCGACTAGCTGCTGCAAAATAGTATTAGAAGGAAATGAGAGGGTAAACATTATAAAGAAACCCGATAACATGATCCGTTAATTCTATTTTTACTCTGATATATTCTATGATTGAAGAAATGCCCAGGCAACCATGGATTATAATAGACACCGTGTGGGCCAATAAAATGAAAACGAAAGACAATATCAATGGCTTGCAAAAAAAAAAAAAAATCTATTATTTTTTTATTAAAATTTTTTATGTACGAAATTTGATCCTTATTTTTTTCATTGTTACTTATTTTATTTAAAATAATTTGAAATAATTGTTATTTTATTTTTATTAAAAATTCACTTAAAAATTTTCATTATCAACAAATGATAGGTTTACAATCATTCTTCCTTAGATTCAACTAAGGAATACAACATATATATCATCAAGAACAATTTATTCTCATATTACAACAAGATTAAAAAAAAATTATTTGAGAAAAACTCAGCCCGATCCAATGGTGAACAAGCTGGAAATCAAAGGAAGAACACAGATGCTCTTCTGCTTCTTCTTTTATTTTTCTCTCTTGATTTTCTTATCCTCTCTTCTATTTTCAATTCTATCACTATAGTACCTGAATCACATTAATATTAACATCAAGAAATAATCACTACATGAAAATTAATATGATGGTCCTACTATCATATGACGTGGGACTACATACGTATCTTTTCATGGCTGAAACGAAACCTTACAGCCATGATTACAGGAAAGATAGTGACTTACCAAAAGAGACCTAAAGGTTCGGTGGATTAGTTCACTGTTGATTGAATGCCAGATGATATTCGATCTCAATTATTGGTCACAGCTGAACAAGAGTGTCAATAAGAAACATTTTTGGACACGCATTCGACTAGCTGCTGCAAAATAGTATTAGAAGGAAATGAGAGGGTAAACATTATAAAGAAACCCGATAACATGATCCGTTAATTCTATTTTTACTCTGATATATTCTATGATTGAAGAAATGCCCAGGCAACCATGGATTATAATAGACACCGTGTGGGCCAATAAAATGAAAACGAAAGACAATATCAATGGCTTGCAAAAAAAAAAAGTTTTATGTTAAATTTATCTTTATTTTAAATTACACTGTTAACTAAACAAAATCCCGTAATATTGAAAAAAATATTTAAAAAAATGTTAATATACATATTTAAAGTCAAATAAAAAATAAGCTCCTCTTATTTTTAATGTTAAAAATTATTTTTTAACGTAAACTCTTTAACATAATTAAAATAAATTGTGATTTTTCGAGCAGTTGATTTGATCTTGGCCCTCACAATTATTTTCATTGGTCTATTATTTGTTGTTGTTTGTTTTTCAAGCTTATGGAAAGGGGTGTTCCTCCAACTTGTTGTGTAAGCGACTTGCTTTTTTCTTCATAGACTTGGGAAGTCATTTGTTCGAACATTTGATTTTCTGACAAGTCTCTAGTCTCATCATCCACTAGCACTTGTTTTTCTTCTTCGCTGACCTGTGAAGTCAAGATTCCCAATTATCCACTGCATCATTCTCTATCCCATCAAAATGAATTTGGTGCAAGAAAAAATATCTGATATTTGTGATTTACTCCTGGTTTTATAAATTAGAATGTGTAAATTGTAAAACCAAACCAATAATATATCTAAATGCATGTAAGACAGTTTCTATATATATATATAAAAGAAGGAAGAAAATGCATTTATTAAAATATGGATGTGTTAGAATGGAGAAATTTAGGGCAGAGATAAGGTATATAGACAGAGTATGCCAAGAATGAAGGGGAAAAATAAAACAAAAACACTATCAATGGCTTGAAAAAAGAAGAAAAAAATAAAATCATTAGTTTTGAGCTTCAGAAGACAATTTTAGCCTTCTTGTCTTCAGAAGACAATAATGTTTCTGTCTTCAATTGCACTTTGCACTCCCTTACTCTAACAGGATTTGAAATGAACAGTCCAGCTGTTGATATAGCTCAATCCTTATTATTTTCTCCTGCAGGTTGTTGCTACTGGTTATATTTTTCACCAGTAAGTTATCCTAGTGCTTGCTGGACTTGCTCAACAAACATAATAAAAAAAATATGTATTGACATGTAATTTAAATTTTAATAACTAGTTTATTGAAAACATGAGAACAGGGTTTATATTTCAAAAATTTATTCCTTTTTCATGGAATGAAGTGATTTGCCGACATCTTCACGTTAACCTTTTTCATGGAATGAAGTGATTTGCCGACATCTACACCTTCCACTCGCACTTCTTTTTCTTCGGAGACTTGTGAAGTCAAGATTCTCAATATATTATCAACATCATCAATTGTTGCTAATTAATTTGGTGGAAGAAATAAAATTTCTGTAAGCAAATAATCATAATTTATCTTTGACATTTCAAGCAACATGCAGCACTTGTTAAGGTGTTATCAATCATCTTTTCATGGTTGAAACCAAACCCTACAGCCATGATTACAGGAAAGATAGTGACTTACCAGAAAAGACCTAAGTTATTGTCCATTGATGCTTAAATTTCTCCGTCGACTTGTGAAGTCGGTCAAGATTGATTAAAATATTATTTATGTGTTTGTATGAAGAAAGTTAGGGCAGAGATGACCAACAGAGACACCTTATGGGCCAATAAAATGATGCAGGAAAAATCACGGGACCGTAGTCCACCTAAAAATTTCCATTATCAATATCAATGGCTTGCAAAAAAAAAAAAAAAAACTGTATATTATACCTGATCCTGTCAACATGTTATGTGATAGATCTCAAGTCAACATGTTATGTGATAGATCCAAAGACTTGAGGGATGAAAGCCCACTCAGAATTGATAGGACGCTACCGTTAAATTGATTGCCACTCAGGTCAAGGTTCTCTAACTTTCCCAGCCTCATCGGTTGGAGTTAAAAACCTACGAGATATAAATATAATTCTCAAATTATACATAAAAAAATATACCTTGAGATAGGTTGTGTACACTGCATAGACAGGTGGTTTTATGCCTTAAGATTGCGTTTTTGTCAAAAAGTAATTTCTAATCATCCTTCAAACATGATGAAATCCTCAATTTTCGTAAGAGAATGTGACTTGCTATTGATACCAGTAGATCCTGTCACTAGTCAACTACTTTGCTTTTTATTCATAGACATGGTGGAAGAAAGAAATATCTGTTAGGCTGATTTACTTCCATATTAATTATTGTTGGATTCTCAATCTGAATTTTAACCTGGTTCTAACTTCTTAATCTGAATTGATGGAAACAATTTGAATCCTTCGGAATGATACGATGCACGCATACGTTGGATCTGCCATTGACTAACGGATTAACTTGGTGATTTGTTTACTCGAACTCTGGGTCGGGATTTGCTTTGTTTTGAACTCTGGCTCCACAATCAGTGTCACTAGTCAAATCCTCCAACTTGTTGTGTAAACTATACTTTGCTTTTTCTTCATACTTGTTGTGTTCTGAACAATTGATTTGATCTTGTAGAATAAAAAAATTTCTTCCTTAACCTTTTTCATGGAATGAAGTGATTTGCCGGTAGCTTCATCATCCACTTGCACTTCTTTCTCTTCGGAGACTTATGAAGTCAAGATTCTCAATATATTATCAACATCATCAATTGTTGCTAATTAATTTGGTGGAAGAAATAAAATTTCTGTAAGCAAATAATCATAATTTATCTTTGACATTTCAAGCAACATGCAGCACTTGTTAAGTTGTTATCAATCATCTTTTTGTTGGGAAAACTAGGAATAATGTTGGAAAAACTAGGAACAATTGGACATCAATTTACCTAAATCAATTCAGCGAAATACAATTTACAATTCACAAGTCTGAATTCTTTTTTTTTATGCAGTAAAACAAAACCAAACAATGATAAAAATAATACAAATAATCATAAAATCAACACCAAGATTTTTAACGTGAAAAACTCGATGCAGGAAAAATCACGGGACCGTAGTCCATCTAAAAATTTCCATTATCGACAAATAATAGGTTTACAATCATTCTTCCTCAGATTCAACTAAGGGATACAACATATATATCATCAAGAACAACTTATTCTCAGATTACAACAAGATTAAAGGAGAATTATTTGAGAAAAACTCACAAAATTGACAACCCTGTTTTCTGTCAAAACGGTTAGTTTCCACACCACCAATCTTCGATTCAACTGTTTAGAATGAAGATCAACGTGTCTAGAAGCTACTATCAAAATCTCAGCCCGATCCAACGGTGAACAAGTTGGAAATCAAAGGAAGAACACAGACTGCTCTTCTACTTCTTCTTCTCTTCTTCTCTCTTGATTTTCTTATTCTCTCTTCTATTTTTAATTCTGCCACTACAATACCTGAACCATATTAATATTAACACCAAGAAACAGTCATCACATGAAAATTAATGTGGTGGTCTCACTATCACATAGTGTGGACCACACACAACATCTTTTATGGCTGAAACCAAACATTACAGGAAAGATAGTGACTTACCAACAGAGACCTAAAGGATTGGTGGATGAGCTCTCTGTTGATTGAATGACAGATGATATTCGATCTCAATTATTGGTCACAGCTGAACAAGAGTGTCAATAAGAAACCGTTTTTGGACACGCCCTTGACTAGCTGCTGCAAATTAGTATTAGAAGGAAATGAGAAAGGGTAAACATTATTAAGAAACCCGATAACATGATCCGTTAATTTTATTTTTACTCTGATATATTCTATGATTGAAGAAATGCATGCCCAGGCACCCATGGATTATAATAGACACCGTGTGGGCCAATAAAATGAAGACAAAAGACAATATCAATGGCTTGCCAAAAAAAATGTTTTATGTTAAATTTATCTTTATTTTAAATTACACGATTAACTAAACATAATTCTGTAATGTTGATTCTATTTGACGAAAAAATTATTTAAAACATGGTTAATAAACATATTTAAAGTCAAATAAAAAATAAACTTATCTTAATTTTAATATTAAAAATTATTTTTTAACATAACTTTTTTTAATATAATTAAAATAAATTGTGATTTTTCGGGCAGTTAATTTGATCTTGGCCCTTAAAATTATTTTCATTAGTTTATTGGAAGTGTGATAGTGCAGGTCGTTGTTTTTTTATTTACAAATACATTAAATAATAGTTTTTTTACTATTATTTTAACATCAAAACAATTCAAAAAAATTAAACAAAAAAAATTAAAATTTAATAAAAAGTTGATTTCACCGCAACCCTAAACCACCTGATTCAAACATGGAACCGGAGTTGCATTCAATAGATGCATGAAGTGAGTTATGTGAGGGGTGCTCACCGTCCATAAAACTAAAGAAATAGTAGGTGAGTGGTGTACTGAAAATAAATATTTTTTTAGTATGTAAGAAGAAATATTATGTATTTTCATCATATTATATAGATTGGATATAGAGTGTATCCCCTGTTGGGATCAGTTTACACCTCAATCCAAAACAATAGCACACAGGAATTAAAAAAGAGGAAGGATCGCTAGGGATACAAGATTGGCAACCAAAAATATGACCTGACATGTTGAGGAAACAGAGGAAGGTGTTTTTTAAAACACAAGGCAGATTTTTTTTTTTATTTTCTTCCTTTTGGTCATTAAATTTTTAAAAGGGGCTTTGATTTGATTCCTACAAGTTGCTGGCAAATCTTCAGCGTTTCGACAGGCAGCCTCATGAACAAAAGAAAGACATTTGTTGCTACCCTGTTCCGATTAGAAACAGAGATTCAAGGAGCTATGCTACGTCCTGGGAGAAGAGTTCCAACGAAATCTACTATAAGTTCCCAAGACACTCTTTTTCCAGAAAATCATTCCTCTGCTTTCCATAAAGTGATCCATGAATCTGTAGAAGAGGAACCTGTATGGTTAGGACATTGTCTTGTTGGGTCAATTAAAGACGGTGTGAATCAACGTGGGCCTGGTTTCACTATGCAATAGAGACAATGAAGATAAAGCAGGAAGAGGAAATGAAGCCTCAATTGCTCAACATGGCAAATTCAGTTGAAGTGACTCGACTCAAAGAAACCAAGTTCAGTTGTTCATATTTGCTTAGGAAGCATGGCAAACTTCACTGCCTCTCAGCTTAAGGAGATTACAGCAGGTCTCGAGGCTTCTGGGCATCAATTTATCTGGGTAGTTAGAAGAAGCAAAAAGGGTCAAGAAGACAAGGAAGATTGTTTACCTGAAGGATTTGAGGGAAGAATGGAAGGCAAAGGCCTAATTATTAGAGGATGGGCACTCCAAGTTTTTGTTGTGCATACTGGATCGAAAACAAACACAAATAAAACACAAACAATAAATTTGCGTGGTTCCCTGAAATTGGGTATGTCCACGGAGGCAGCAAATTGTATATTATAAAAGGAATGATACAAATACTCAACTCAACCTAGTACAATCCCATAAAATCCGGTGTTTCACTCTTATACTCAGTATTTCTCTCAAACTTGTATATTATTGGAGGAATGATACAAATACTCAACTCAACCCATTATAATCCCACAAAAACCCGGTATTTCACTTTTACACTCGGTGTTTCTCTCAAATCTGCATTTTCTCACTCTCACAATTGCACTCACCACACTTGCACTACACTTTTGCTCTCACCACTTACACTACACTTATACCATACATTGCTCTCTCTTTATCTCCATTTATAGGAGAGCTTTTGTAGCTTGGTTGAGAGTTGAGAAGAGATG